CAGCTAATTTTTGAGGTTTTACTTTATTTCAATTTTCAATCTTTATGTTTAAGAGATGTTAAATATTTGACAAAATTTATAAAAATTAGGAACTAAATTGAAAATATTTACAGTTTACGGACTAAACAATATAAAAATAAAATTTAATTTTAGTCTCAAGTTTAGATACTTCACATTAATTTAACACCTAATTAACAGAATGATTAAAATTAGAATAAAATGAAATTTTAAAGTCTAATTATGTGATGTTTTAAAAGTGAGATTATAAAAAATTAATTTAGTATATAAACCTTAGAAACTATTTATGAGATTAATTTAGTATATAAAAAAAATTAAAAAAATCAATTTACTAACAGTTTTGGGTTGGAAGTGAGGTGTTACAATGTCAAATCACTTTTGCCACTTATTATTGTTTTTTTTTTTTTTTATGAAAAAACTTTCAATTTTTTGTCCTTTGTTAAATGAAAAAAATGTAACGTCTTCGAAACAACCTCTTTGACACTAATTATTGGTGTCCTCAATTATTTGATGCACGTTTCTTATTAAAAAATTTGATATGCATGGTTTATAAAAGGGACAAAAAGATATCCCGCCGACCAGTTTAATTTAGGTCTTATCATACGTCTAACTTTTTCTTCCTCCAAATTTCCCAGTCCTTCATTTTTTTTTTTTTTTTTTTTTTTCTGGAAAAGGGATGGGGAAAAGTTTTTTAACACCTAATGTTTAGCTCAACTAGAGTAAACTTGTTGAAAGAAAGGAAATAAAAATTCCTCACTGCTCAAATGTAAAGTGAAAATTAACCAAAGAGCTGAGGGTTATTGCTAAGATGGCTAGATCTTCTTTCTTATTATGCATTCTATTTAGTTCTAAAATCACAGATTTAGACATGTATTCCGAGTCCTGAATCAAATAGAAAGTGAACCCCAAATAGTAACATTCGAAAATGAAAGATATCAACAATTTAATTGGCAAAGTTTTTAATTAAAAATAACAATAATAAAAGAACATAAAAATTTTATGTATTTTGATATGTGTCCATGTCCAGGCCAACAATGAACTTAAATTTAAATAAAGTACATTAGATATCCATAATCAAACTAGATTAGTCACAATCCGGACGGAAACCAAATCAAACTAAAGGAGAAAGTTCTCAGTATTGTCATCGTTCGTAGAAAGTCAAATGGCATAACTCTAGCCAAAGCAATTTTTTTTCCTCTCTCATTCTTGATATCAAATCAAGTACTCTTGCATCCAAGTTTCCGAATCAACCGTGCATGGGTGTATTATTAATCCTTATTGAAAATTTATGGTTTTCATATATGTGAAATAGCGTTCTGAGACCGAGTTTTTTTTTTTTTTTTTTCCAAATATATATTACCCATTGACAGATCAAAAGACATAATATATAACTTTGAGTCAACCAATCACTCAGAAATATTTAAATACATCTGTAAATTGGAAGTCGAATATAAATACAATATAAGTTTTTTTATGATTAATGACATGTTTAATTATCAAGATTGGTGAATGTGAGTCAATTCCGTGTTTACTTGTTTTTTATTTATTTTGAATTAAGAGTGAAATTGGTCGACTCCACTCAAATTTGGAATTGAGAAATGGATGACAATCCAATGCCCCTTTTTGAATTGGGACTGTCGTTCCTAATATTAATATTAAATTATTACCTTACCTTAATTTATTTAAAATATAATAAAAAATAAAATTCAAAAAATAATAATTATAACTTATATTTATCATTTTATTTGCCTAATATTATAATATGAACCTAATTATTATTATCTTTACTATAATATATATGTACTTTATTATGATTATTAAAATAAAAAATATATTATAATTTTTAACACGTTTTATTTTTTGTTTTATTTATTTTATTCAAATTTTGACAATTTATTTTCATATTTTAAATAATATGCAACTTATATTTATTATTTCATCACCCTATTATTATAATAAATATATTAATTATGATTGATTTTAATATAATAACTACAAAATTCATTTTTAAATTGAAAATATAAAATTTACTTAAAGGGTATATTAGTACTTTTACATCAGTTCATTACAATTCTGGTTGTAAGTAAAAGTATGAATGAGATTTGAATCATGTTACTAAATAAATAATTTATTCTGACTCTTTCCTCACTATAAATCTTACTCACTATGAATCTTGTCCATTTCAATTCATGGTCATTCTGATTATGCATAAATAAACATGCCATAAATGTATTTACTTAAAAAAACTAATTTTATCTCAGTCTAAAGTATTCCCAGCAGTATCTTTATTGTAATCAACATTATAACGATCCAAATAAGATCATTCCTTCAATCGGCTAAAAGACAAGCTACAATTTGGGTAAATAGAGAAAGTAGGTAAGTTATTATTTTCAGTTTTTGAACAAGAGTTATTAGGAATTTATAAATAAGTGCTTTGTATAAAGTTTTATGTGTCCTCAGAGAAAAATATAGAGACAGAGTGTCTTCTTTTGTGAGAGAGAGAAAAGTGATGAGAGAGATAGGTAAGGGTGTAAGGGGTTTTGGGTAGAGAGAGAAAGTGAGAAATTTTGTTGAGTGTGTAATTCTGAAACTGTTAGTGAATTTTTCTCTCTTTTATAAACGTAAGAAATTTTTCTGAACCACCTAAATATTTGTCTTCTCTATTTTTTTGTTAGTTTTATTCAGTTTATTTTTTTGTTGCATGAACGTAGAGGTGTGTTTTTTCCTAACAATAAGAAACACAAACAATTAGCCCCATATAATTACAATTTACAAGCATTACTTGATTTTTCAAGGAAATTGTGCGCACCAATTTAAAAGAGCGCTTTCTCAAGGAAATTTGTAGCAATAAATTCGTTACCAGCATCATTTTTTTTTTTTTTGCCCGAGGTAGTAGCAAATGATCAATTTCTGTCTTTGCTCTCTGGCTTGTTAGCTTGAGGTCGATAATTATTTATCAGTTTTCTGGATTATTTTTATATATTATTATTATTTGCGTTTGACATTTATCGATATGTCTAACTAAGACATTGGTCCGTGGATAGTGATATATTGACAAAATAATATATGTTTAAACGAAAGTATTTTTCAAACTCTGCTTATTTCTTCCTCATTACAATAATTTCTGAGAAACCAACGAATTCTAAATAGACAGAAAGCTCTTTCAAAATTAATTATTCATAATCAGTACAATAATTGTCAATAATAATTATTAATTAATTTTTTTGCTGCAAATTAATTATTATTATTATTATTAGCTTTCACGTATTGATCTCTATACGTAATACTGTACAAATTTTCATTTTGATCAATTAGTTGCCACTAAAAGGTGTATCTATGTTAATGGGTTTATTATAAAGTACCGTATATGTCTACGCTCAACAAAAGTACTATCCTTTATCGTAATATGAGATGTAGTACTAATATATATACAATTGTATATAGTATAAATAACTTTATAATTTTGACATGCGCCAAAATTATCCAACTCAAATAGAGATGACTATATTCATGCCACCCAGATCACCTTATAAGGACATAACTATATGACTTATCATGTCATAAGTTATACATCTTGATCATCAGGCCAGTTGTTTTAAGTTTTTTAATTGAGAAAATTACATAATTTATTTTTAAGAGTATATGAGTCTGAACTTTTACTTCTTATTTTTGATAAATACCCTTTTATTAGTGTAATTATTTAGTAAAAAAGGTTATGAATTAAGAATAAAAAATAAAAATCATCGACTCATACATTTTCAAGAGGTATTTGTCAATATTACTTTTTTTAATTTGAAGTACTTGAAAGCTACTGACACTAGATTTGATAATTCAAATGCAATACTACTGTAAATACAGAAAAGCTAAATTATGGATGTGTCTGCTTTTTTTTTTTTTTGGTAAGGAAAATTATTCAGTTAGACCAGAACTCTCTTCAGTCTTTTTTGTCTTTTTTTTTTGGTAAGCTAAGTTATTCCCATTTTGTCCTCTAATTGTTTTTGTTTTTATAAAAAAAAAAACCTACATTTGGTCCTCTCAAATTTAAATTTGTCTCACTTAATCCATCATGTTCAAATTTTGTCCAAAACAAACCAAAAAAGACTACATAACATCACTTAACTCTCCTCTTTTTTAACTAGAGGAGAAGTGGGATTAATTCAAAGTTTAAAGAGTAAAGTAGGAGTATTTAGAATTTAAGGGACAAAGTGAGAATGAACCTAAAATTAAAAGAGAAAATACTAAGGACACCAACTTAAATTCTAACTTTTGTGTACCAATTGATGTGGTATGTGAGTTGTCATTTTTCTATTAACGGGTGTTTAAAACACTGTCATGTCAATTAATGAAAGAGATTGTATCTACTAATAAAAAGATGACAATTCACGTGTCACATTAATTAATATACAAAAATTAAAATTTGAATTGGGGTCTCTAGCATTACTCATGCATTGGCCAGAATCATCCTTATATTTACCAAATCCCATAAATTAAATAGTAGTACTGCATTAGAGGTGATCCGGTCACTTTGTGATATCTATCAATCATCCCCCCTTTTGAGTGATCTCTATCTAATTAGGAACTAGGAAGGGATATGATTCAAGTTTTGGAATCGCACAGAAATGATTATATATATGCATGCAAGAGTACTAATGTATTGGTCTATTTATTAACAGTACTGCTACATGCATGAGGAGTGTCACCATAATTATTGTAGAATTATTTGATGTGAGCCCTGGCTAGCTATACACCTACTATCGAGAAAAAGTCCATCTCTAGAGAGAGGAAAATTTGTCAATGGAAATAGACAGCTCTTTATTTGGTTTTGCTAGCAGTACTAGTCCAAAGCATTTACACTAATATTAATTGAAGAGTAACAAAGTTGATTGAAAAAAAAAAAAAAAAAAAAAAAAAAAAAAAGGAAAATGTAGAAGACAACAAAACTTTGTGGAACATTTCTCTGTAAACTTGGACGGAAGTAATTTCTAATTATCATAATATTCCCGCGCTTGAAGCCGAATTTGTCTATTAAATCTCTGAATGAACTCTTCAACTCTTCTATTTAAATCTTCATCCGACATGTTTGAGAACTCATTCATCACCTCTCCCTCATTTTTTTGGTCATATTTTTCGGTCTCTGACCTCCTCAAAGCTACACTGTTTTTACTCTCGTCAATCACCACTTTTTTAACCCTCTCAGACTTACTTCTCCTATAAATACTATTTTTTCTTCCCTCATTAATATTCTTTTTTGTTTCATAGTCTGACTTCTTACCAACGTGGACAATCCTTTTCTCTTGGATATGATCTTGATCTTCTTGAGTCATAGAAGTAGCTTTTTCGTGCTCGTTTATGGCCATAATTTGCATTTTATTTTCTAGGGGTTTAATCTCTTTTTCTTTCTTCTCTTGCATTTTCTCGACCGAATCTTCATGTTTTTGAGTGTTGACGTTGCTTTTCTTGGCAATTTCTTGGTACTCCAAAACAAACGAGGAAGAACTACGCCTTAATTCGTTGTGCATGAAGTACTCATTGTAGACGCCTTGTTTGTCTTTGGACGAAGAGAATGCACCATAATCAGCAGCTATGATGAGGATGAGAGTGTTTGATATGAGAAACCAAAACTTGGTGTTGTTGAAGAGAGTTGAAGGAGAGAGGTTGAATTTGTAGAAGATGGAAATGTAAATAAAGATTGAGAAAATGAAGGGAAAAATGGACATCCCTTTGACTTTTGGTTTGTAGGGTTTCTTTGGATCTTCCATTAGATATGGTAGTGAACTGGCCATATTGTTTCAATAGAGCCAAGAGAAGATAAGAAGAAGAGAGAGTGTGAGTGACTTGAGCGGAAAATGGTTTTGCAAAGTTTTATTTTCAGTAGAAGTTTCAAATGACCAAGGGGGGTTTTTATAGGGGGAATTCTATAGGTGTCAAATAATTGAATTGCTTCAATTACAAATATGACCCTCTCTTTTTTATTATTTACTAATATATCCTCTTACTCAATTACATCTTTTGGCCACTTCAAGAAATTCTTCGAACAAGTGTTTGAATAAAAATGAATAGCCACCTCGAATCAGATTTGATTTGGAAGCAGCCAAAAATAATCCTGCTCAAAACCCCATGATGATTGATATCTCTAGCTAAACCCCGTGAACCCAAATTGTGGTATGTATCTATGACAACTCAAGAAGTACAAGGCTACATTAGTTTTTTAAAAGTCAAGTCAAATATAATATATCAAAACCCATGTCAGTGACAAATGGCACATAGTTGAGTATTCAATAATCATAATGTTGTGTCGTAGCTAGCTAAGCATGCATACAAGGTATGGCTTCTCCTTAAGTAATCTGCTAATATTGGACCACTTGTATAAATATATTCCTAGTCTCATTTCAAGCATATCATCATATAGCCACCTAACACCCATATATCATAATATGTTCACCAAATGTTCTTGATCTTGTGGGCTCATAAAATCATGATCATCTCAATATTGGCAGGGTTCACATTTTTCTATCTCAATTATGTTGTTCTAATCTCCCCGTTTGTTGTTAGTGCAAATGTGCAATTGATGTAAACACTTAATTCTGGAGTTGGGAGATATATAATTTAACTATCATACATAATTGGCATGTTTACATCGTCAAACTATTGGTATTGGGACCAATATGTCCCTCCAATCCAAAGGTCAAAAGTTTGTGCTTTCTATATGCTATTATAGTACCTTTTAATGTGCTTTGGATTTTAATGAATGGACATGAAAATCAAATCAATACCTCAGTTACATATTAATGTTTGTAGCAAAAAAAAAAAAAAAGAAGGAAAAACATTATTAATGTGATTATTACTAATTTATATTGGCTAAACAGACATCTAACACATTTTGTTTGTGTACTAACACAATGAAGTTTCTAGCGTCAAAAAAAAAAAAAAAAATCACATAGAAGTTTTTCTTTTTATTTTTTAATTATTTTTTTGGTTTGGTAAAACAATCATACAGGGCTTGATTGCCCTCTTCGAAAGCCTGTAAAACCGCACTGAAGCTGGCATATAATGGTCGAAGTGGGACCCTTTCTTCTACAGCTCAATATTTTCCACTCAATTCATGGTATATCTAAAACATAGGCAATATTATAAAATTCATATCATGGACCCACATGTACCATAAGATCTGTCCTTCATCAAGCCGCCAAAATGTTGGGTCCCATGAGCGATGGTATGATATGGGAATTTGTTGAATATTGCACTCCAATCATAGGACTAATCATGATGATTACAATAATCAGATATTTGGAAAATCATGTAAAGAACTCCAAAAAGACTTTTTAATCTTGCTTAGTTATGCTTGGATTTCACTTTTTTGTCTTGTGGTCGTGGGGGTTTTCAAAAAATTCAGCCTGATCTTTGTATTACTTGGGGATCTTATTTTACAAATTTATTACTAGGCTTGGGGAACAAAAATTCATTGGGAGATGTGGAAGTTTAAAGATTAAAAGTATAGGTTGGCGATTAGTGATTGGTTGACACATATCTCGTTCTTGCGTAATGATATCATCCTTGGAATTATTAACCCATTAAAACGTTAATTAATGTTTATCCCAATAGGATTTTGTAGTAACGAGAGGAACACTCCAATGACAGCAAGACAAAAACGAGTTTTGAGTGTTTGGTTTAATAATAAGAAAATAAATCTTTGATTACGGGATAAAGGCCATGATTTATGCTCTTCAATTTTTCTTACAAGACTTTGCAAACTTGGGTCTGTCTTTTGTAATTTGTGATGCTAGTATTCTTGCATGCTTTATGAAGAATGGTATGACCTCATTGTTTGACATTATATATAGGGGTAGATTATTATTAATTTGTGGTGAGAGCCAAATTGTGTCTTGTTCTTGTTATAATATAGTAAAAGCGTGAACTGTGTTATATAGGGCCATACGAATATTGATCCGTTCCACATAGCTTGTAAGTTAGTTATATGTACACACAAACTCTCCCGTACTCCAACATGTTTTCTTAAAAAAGAAACAAAAAACTTGTAATGCATTACTTATCTAATTAATGTGGCAATAATTAATTGAGCCGTTATAAAGATATATGCTCTTTGTAATCCTAATTTTAGGATATCAGTACAAGGAAAAAAGGCTATTAACGAAACAAAAAGTCGTTGCTAAAAATACAAAGTCATCACAAATGAATTTTTAACGACTACTTGTCGTTGCAAACCTGTCGCCGCAATTGATTCGTCGTAAAAATAATTTTTACGACGACAAGCAGTCGTCGCAAATGAGTCGCTGTAATTATTTCATCGGTTACATTGTTAAAATGCTATGACATTGAGTATTTACGACGACATTTTACGAATTATGTCGTCACAAAAGATTCAGAATTAGCTGACGTGACATATATTTTTTACAACCACATTTATCATTGTAAATAATATTTTAATTTTTTATTTTAATTTTCTCATTTTAAAAATTAATGTTGTATATTACTATATATTTAAACCCAATATTAAATATAATTCATGATATTACAATAATAAAAAATAATTAAATAAAAGGAATAAATCATAAAAAATAGAAATAAAAATTATTATTGTAAAAAGTAATTAATAAAATAAAAATATAATCATAGTAGTAATGTACGGAAATAAAAATTGTTACATTAATTGTAACACATCGAGGAATTAAAAGAGATTAATTAAGATAATTAAGATTTATTAGTGTGCCTAATATGGTTTAATTAATTAATTATTGTTTATTAAATGTTTCTGAAGTGTAAATTTAAATATTTCCAAGGAATTTAAATATTTTCAGTATTTACATTTTTATCCCAGAAGTGTGTGTAGACACATTTTCTGGAATGTTTAAATATTGTACACATGTCTTTTCATTTTCATTTTCATTTTTCTTTTTCTTTTCCTTTCCTTTTTTTTTCCTCCTTTTCTTTTCTGTTCCCGTGCACTCTCTCTCCCTCTCTCTCGTTTCAACACTCTCTTTCTCTCTTCCATTTTTGTCTAGAATCAATCGGATCTTGAACCAAAGGAGGATTTAAATGAGTTTTCAACGTCAAGAGAAGAATTTGAGGTAGGATTTCTAAAAAACTTCTCTTGAATCTCAGATTTTTTTGGATTAGAAAACTTATTTTGGTTCGAAATAGATTTTATGGATTTTGAGTAAAATCCCGGTAGAAATTAGGGATTTTTAATTCTTTGGACTTGATTAGTCATTTGGAACTTGGATTGGGTGATTTCCCTTTGAAATATTTCGAATTAGAACTCAAAATTGCATATTTTTAGACTAATTTGGTGAGTTTCCTCGCCTTGCTGTTCTCCACGCTGTTCTCCACCGGCCGACCTATGTGGTCGATCGGATTGCATTCCACCAGGTCGACCTATGCGGTCGACCGAATTGTACACCACCGGTCGACTGGTGGTGTTGCACATCTCTGTCACCGGTCGACTGGTGTACATGGGGTTTGACCTTGTTTTGCTTGAAAATACTGTTTTGACCTCAGTTTTCGAGAAGAACCCAAATCAGCTTCATTTAGGGACCTAGAGTGAATGGATTATCATCTTTAATCCATGTTTTGGAATCAAAGCCCTTGGAATGATGAGTTGAAATATAAAATGATTAATGAAACTTAAAATTTAATTAAGGCACACTAATAGGAAATCAAAGGATATAATTGAGATTGAAATTGCTCTAAGAATGACTTGAGGTCAGGATATCATCAGCTAAGGATTAAGTAGGAAAACATTCCAAAAACTGCTTTTAGAACTCGGTATGGGCATTTCGAGTTCCTGGTGATGCCTTTTGGGTTGATGAATGCCCCAGCTACATTCATGGACTTAATGAATCGGGTTTTCCGGCCTTACTTAGATCAGTTTGTGATTGTTTTCATCGATGATATTCTGGTTTACTCGAAGACTTGGGAAGAACATGAGCAGCATTTGTGAATTGTTCTTCAGACTCTTCGTGAGCACCAGCTGTATACGAAGAAAGAGAAGTGTGACTTCTGGCTGATAGAAGTGAAGTTTCTTGGGCATGTGATATCAAGACAGGGAATGTCTGTAGATCCTTCCAAGATTGAGACTGTGTTACAGTAGAAAAGGCTGAAGAATGTGATAGAGATTCAAAGTTTCCTCAGACTTGTAGGATACTATCGACGTTTCATAAAAGACTTCTTGAGCATTGCTACATCGATGACTCGGTTGACTAAAAAAGAAGTCCGATTCGAATGGGATGCTGAATGCGAACATGCTTTTTAGGAATTGAAGACCAGACTGACAAGTGCACCAGTCTTGATTATACCCAATAGCGAAGAGCCATATAAGGTATATTCTGACGCCTCGAAGAGTGAACTTGGCTGTGTCTTGATGCAAGGTGGACGCGTCGTAGCCTACGCATCTCGCCAATTGAAGCCACATGAACGGAACTACCCCACTTATGACTTGGAATTAGCAGCGGTAATATTTGCTCTAAAGATATGAAGATGTTATCTTTATGGAGCAAAGTTTTAAGTTTTCTTTGACCACAAGAGTTTGAAGTACTTGTTTACTCAGAAAGATCTGAACCTCAGGCAGAGGAGATGGATGGAATACATGGAAGATTATGATTTCACGCTACAATATCATCCGGGAAAAGCTAATGTGGTTATTGATGCCCTTAGCAGGAAGACTACAATAACTATGGCATCATTAGCCATGGAAGATTGGAAAAAGGACTGAAGTAGTAAGCGATTATGATCTTCAGTACTATGAGGATTATAACCAGACAATGGTATATAATCTGATCTCCACACCAGCCATTGTGCAACAAGTTAAGCAGAATCAGTGGCAGGATCCTTATCTCT